AGCTAGCTAGCTAGCTAGATAGATAGATAGATAGATAGATAGATAGCTAGTTAGCTAGCTAGCTAGCTAGATAGATAGATAGATAGATAGCTAGCTAGTTAGCTAGCTAGCTAGCTAGCTAGATAGCTAGCTAGGTAGCTAGGTAGAGCAGTTAGTTAGTTAGAGCTTTCCCTGGCTAGCTGGTAGCTAGCCAGCTAGCTAGCTAACCAAATAGCTAGCTATGGAACTCTTTATGGGGGTAGGCTCCTGCTGCTGCTGCTGCAGCTGCAGCAGCAGCTGCTGCTGCTGCTGCGGTAGCTAGCTAGCCAGTCCCTTGGAGAGCTAGCTATCCTCCTGTATTGCCTCTATGTTGCTGTTGCTTTGTTTCTGCTGCTGCTCCGGTTCCTGCTGCTGCTTTTGCTGCCTTTGCTGCTGCTGCTGCTGTTGCTGCTGCTGTGTTGCTGCTGCTGCTGCGGTTGCTGCTGCTGCTGCTGTGTTGCTGCTGCAGCATAGCGCTGAACTCGCCGCCTTTGCTGCTGCAGCCGGCAGACGCCGGCGGCCTGTGGGGTCGGCTGCTGCNATAGCGCTGAACTCGCCGCCTTTGCTGCTGCAGCCGGCAGACGCCGGCGGCCTGTGGGGTCGGCTGCTGCGGCTGTGGGGCAGAGGCCGCCAGCAGCAGCAGCAGCAGCAGCAGCAGCAGCAACAGCAGCAGCAGCAGCAGCAGGAGGGAGGGGCTGAAGGAGACGCAGCAGCAGCAGCAGCAGCATCAGCAGCACAAGACGGTGGCAGCAGCACGGAGGAGCCGTCGCTGCAGCAGACAGACGAAGGCCTGGCTGCGGGACCCCCCTCTGAATCAGCAGCAGCAGCAGCAGCAACAGCAGCAGCAGCAGCAGCACCAGCAGCAGCAGCAGCAGCAGCACCGGCGCTGCTTAGCCCCGAGATATTTATAGATGGAATCCAAGTGGATGCGAGGCAGCTAACAGTAAACATAAACATCATTGTGCTGCTGCTGCTGCTGCTGTTGCTGCTGCTGCTGCTGCTGCTGCTGCTGCTGTTGGTGATACTGCTGCTGCTACTGCTACTGGTGCTGCAACTGCTTCTGCTGCTGATTGTGTTGCTGCTGCTCTTGGTGCTGCTCTTGCAGCTGCCTCACTTGCAATTGCTGCTGCTGCGGTTGCTTCTACTCTTGCTGCTGCTGCTGCTGCTGCTGCAGTTGCTGCTGCTGCAGCTATTCGTTCTGCTGCTTCCGTGGTGTCGGCCTTCGTGCTGCAGTGGGTGTTCAATCTGCTGCTCTCCTCTTTGCTGTTGCTGCTGCTGCTGTTGCTGCTGTTGCTGTTGCTGCTGCTGCTGTGGTTACTGCTGCTGCTGCTGCTGCTGCTGCTGCAGATGTGTGCAGGGTTAAGCGGTGAAGGCCTCGGATTTCCCCCGTGGAGATTTTTTGCTGCTTTCAGTGATGGCGAGGAGTCAGCTGCTGCTGCTGCTGCTGCTGCTGCTGCTGCTGGTGTTGGGGTTGCTGCTGCTGCTGCTACTGTTGCTGCTGCTGCTGCGGCTGCGGCTGCGGTTCCTGCTGCTGCTGCTGTTGCTGCTGCTGTTTCGTGTTAGGAGTTTCAAGCTGTAGTTTATGCAGCAGCAGCAGCAGCAGCAGCAGCAGCAAAAATGAAGCAGCAAGATAAATACATCGCTGCTGCTGCTGCTGCTGCTTTTGCTTCTTGCAGGTCCTCAGCTGCAGCAGCAGCAGCAGCAGCAGCAACAGCAACAGCAGCAGCAACAGATGCTGCTGCTGCTGCTGCTGCTGCTGGGCGTTTGCCGCTGGCGCTGCGCTTGCTGGGGGGTCTTCCTCTATGGACGTTTGCTGTTGTGGAGTGGCTAGCAGTAAACCCTAAACCCTAAACCCTAAACCCTAAACGCTAAACCCTCAGGTCGTAGGCGGGTCTCTGCACCTCCTTGGTGTCGAGGCTAAGCGGTGCACCACGTAGGGTTTAGGGTTTAGGGTTTAAGGGTTTAGGGTTTAGGGTTTAGGGTTTAAGGGTTTAGGGTTTAGGGTTTAGGGTTTAAGGGTTTAGGGTTTAGGGTTTAGGGTTTGTGTGCAGGAGCACGTTGGGTCTATTTTGTCTCCGTGGTTTACACAGCGAAGCAAACAAACAGAAGAAATGTCTCAGCCTCTTACACGGTAAGGGTTTAGGGTTTAGGGTTTAGGGTTTCTAGGGTTTAGGGTTTCTAGGGTTTAGGGTTTGTTGAGGTGTGTGTGTGTATGTGTTTGTGTGTGTTGCTGCTGCTGCAGCAGCATTTTGCTGTTCCTGCTGCAGCAGCGGCAGCTACACAACGCAAAGTATACCCTGCATCTTCCCTCTGCCTATCCATGTAAACCCTAAACCCTAAACCCTAAACCCTAAACCCTCGGTGCGGGTCCACCTGAGGGAGAAAGAATTTAGGGTTTGGGAGACAGCGTCAAACATATAGAAGCCAGGGGTAATATCTAGGGTTTAGGGTTTAGGGTTTAGGGTTTCTAGGGTCTAGGGTTTCTAGGGTTTAGGGTTTAGGGTTTCTAGGGTTTAGGGTTTAGGGTTTAGGGTTTCTTTCAGGGGGAGCGGGACTTTCGCTGGGCTCCGTCACTCTCAACGGCCATCCACTCGGTACGTAAACCCTAAACCCTAAACCCTAAACCCTCATATTTACACTAAACCCTAAACCCTAATAAGCTCTCTTGAGCCCATATTCCAAGCAGTAAGAAACACATAGCTGGCCGCTTCTGCGGGTTTAGGTTCTCTAGCCTTGATATTAGGGTTTAGGGTTTAGGGTTTAGGGTCTAGGGTTTAGGGTTTAGGGTCTAGGGTCTAGGGTTTAGGGTTTAGGGTTTAGGGTTTATGCAGGTGATTACGCCGTTTCGCTTGGCCCCCCAGAAGGAGGAGAGAGAGAAGCACAGATGGTCATCCCCCCCGACATGTGAGTTATTTCAAGGGTTTAGGGTTTAGGGTTTAGGGTTTAGGGTTTAGGGTTTACTGGTGTTTGTGTGTTCAGGCTTGTTGAGGGTTTTAATGTTGTTAGTATTCTACATATGGTGGGGGGAAACCCCGAAGAAGTTTTTATTAGAGAGGTAAACCCTAAACCCTAAACCCTAAACCCTAAACCCTCGTTTCTGACATCTAAGCCGTTGCTCCTAAACCCTAAACCCTAAACCCTAATCCTCACGATGAACCTATACTTGAATACGTAGAGGTTTAGGGTTTAGGTACTAAGCACAAACCCTAAACCCTAAACCCTCGCTATTGCTTCTGCAAGCGTTCGTGGGGTTTAGTCTTCGTGTTTAGGGTTTAGGGTTTAGGGTTTAGGGTTTGTATTTGTTTAGGAAATATATGAAGAAATTTCGCAGCAGTCTGCTGCTGCTGCTGCACCATGGGAAGCTGCTGCTGCGCTGCTGCTGCTGCTGCTGCTGCTGCTCTTTCTTCTCGCTGCTTTGGCGGTGCTGGTGCGGGGCCCTAAACCCTAAACCCTAAACCCTAAACCCTAGGAAATAAGGAGTAGCAGCAGACAAAAAGCAGCAACAAACAACAAAATAGAGATTCAAACTAACAAGAGATAAATAAACCCTAAACCCTAAACCCTAAAAAACAAATACAGATTTCTATCTTTATTTATATAAAGAGAGAAAAGAACAAAAAACAACAAACAACAAAAACAAAAAAACATTGATGATTATAAATACTCATAGGGTTTAGGGTTTAGGGTTTAGTATATTTGAAACCCTAAAAGTAATTATTAGGGTTTAGGGTTTAGGGTTTAGGGTTTGTGTATGTTTCTAAATTCATTTATTTTGGTTTAATGCAGCGTTTTTTTGTTTCTGTTGTTGCTGCTGCTGCTGCTGCTGCCGCTGCTGCTGCTGCCGCTGCTGCTGCTGGTGTTTGTGTGTATCTGCTGCAGCTGCTAGCTCAAGCAGCAACAAAGAGACGGAGAAGGTCTTTGCTTTTTGCTGCGCTGCTGCGTGTTGCTGATCCCTCTGATTTCGTCAGCCCCCTCAACTCTCCTAGACCCTGTCTCCATCATCATTAGGGTTTAGGGTTTACGAGGGTTTAGGGTTTACCAGGGTTTAGGGTTTACGAGGGTTTAGGGTTAACGACGGTTTAGGGTTTGCGACGGTTTAGGGTTTATGAGGGTTTAGGGTTTACGAGGGTTTAGGGTTTAGGGCTTACTGGGGTATAGGGTCATTCCTCCTCGCCCTGTATCTCCTCCGCTATTTCTTCTTCTTCTGCTTCTTCTTTTGCTGATATTTATTTAATAAATAATAAATTATATTTTATTTATTTATAATTAAATAAACTTTTTGTTTCAGGGTTTAGGGTTTAGGGTTTAGGGTTTAGGGTTTTTGCTTACCCAGTTCATCTGCCGCCTCCTTTCCAGGGCCCTGTTGAGATCAGTGGTTTTGAGCTCATCGATATTTAGGGTTTAGGGTTTAGGGTTTAGGGTTTCAGTTCTAGGGTTTAGGGTTTAGGGTTTAGGGTTTAGTAGGGTTTACGGTGAGAAGAAACAAATCAGTAACCAACAAGCAAACGCAAAAAGAAAGAAATAAATAAATAAAATAAATAAATAAATAAAACAAATAAATAAATAAAATAAATACATAAATAAATAAAATATATAAATAAATAAATAAAATAAATAAACAAATAAAGCAAATGAAGAAGAAAAGAAATAAAATAAATAAACGAATAACTCAGACAAACAAATAAATAAATAAAGCAAATAAATAAATAAACAAATAAATAAATAAAACAATAAATAAACAAATAAACAAAACAACTAAACAAATAAATAAAAATAAATAAATAAAAAAATAAATAAAAAAAATAAATAAATAACCTCTTTTTGTATTGCGTCTTTTTCTCTTCTTTTTAGGTCCGTCAATTTCTCCGCTAAGATATCCAGCTCTCTTGATTTCTCCTTTAAGTCTATAAATAAATAAATAAATAAATAAATAAAAAATAAATATATAAATAAATAAATAAATAAATATATAAATAAATAAATAAATATATAAATAAATAGATATATAAATAAATTTATACTAGTAAATAAATAAATAAATAAATAAATCGATGAATAAATAAATAAATAAATAAATAAATATATAAGTAAATGAATAAATAAATAAATAAATAAATAAATAAATAAATAAATAAATAAACGAATAAATGAATAAATAAATAAATAAATAAATGTAAATAAATATAAATTAAAAAACAAATACAAATAAATAAAACAAAAAAAATAAAATCAGTGAAATTAAATAAATAAAAAAATTAAAATAAATGGCAAAAGAAGATGAAACAAAATAGAATAAATAAAATAAAATAAACAAAATAAATAAAATAAAATAAACAAAACAAGATAGAACACAACAAAATGAACAAAATAAAAT